AGTATAACGAGAATGATCATCAATAAAAAGAACATAATATTTATTGCCACTTTTTGTAGGAAAAGGGGATGGACCCCATACATCAGAGTGGATAAGTTCAAAAGGCCTAGCCGAATGAGAAATACTAGTAGAATATGGGAGTTGCAACTGTTTCCCGAGTTTGCAACCCTTACAATGAAAATTAGACTCAACAGAAGTATGACCTAAACAACCATTCCTAATCAAAGTAGACAAACGGGACCCACACAAATGACCAAGACGATGATGCCATTTAGCAAAGGATGAGACGAAAGACGAGGCAATGGATGACACACGAGCGGTAGAACCAGGTGGAGAGGGAAGATGCAATGTGTCTAGGATGTAAAGATTAGAAGAATCCCTGCGGCGATGACCAGTCCCAATCACAGTCCCGCTTCGACGATCCTGAATAAAACAAGATAAGTCATCAAATCCAACAGAACAATTTTGATCAGTGACTTGACCAACTGAAAGAAGGTTCATGGATAACTTAGGAACATAAGAGATATTAGGTACTGAAAAACGTGAATTGTTTAGAGAATTCTGATGAGTAATATGACAAGATGTGCCATCAGCTGTCTGAATAGAAGTACCATCAGTGACCGATTTGCAGCTAACCAACTGAGACTGATCAGAAGTCACATGGAATGATGCCCCTGAATCAAGAACCCAAGACTGAGGAGCATTGACAGGTGAAGCAGCAGCAATGGATGCAGACCCCTTAGTAACACGAGTCGTACCATGAGTCCGAGCAGCACGACGTGCACGATACTCAGCCAATTTTTCTGGATGCTGAGCAAAACAATTTTCTGCAATATGACCCGTTTTCCTGCAATGCTGACAAGAGTCTGAAGAACCACCTTTTGGTGCACTAACCCGTTGGGAGGATGCCCGATGAGAAGCAACTAATAGACCATGAGATACTGTCGACGGAGCAAGTGACATAGAACAAAGACGAGTCTCTTCAGCAATCAACTCAGACAATGCTTGTGCCATGGTTAGAGTAGAAGAATTATGAAGTAATCGTGTACGAATAGACTCAAATTCTGCTCTAACCCCCATGACAAAGCGGTATATAAAACATTTCTCAACAAATTTATGTGCTGAACACTCCTCTTCTGTGCATGGAGGCACCATGGAGATCAATGGTCCCATCAAACGATCAAAAGCTGAGTAGTACTCATCAATTGACATATCATTCTGTTCAAGGACATGAATTTGTTGCATAAGTGTGTGCAAGAGTGCACCACTATCCTGAACTTAGCGTTGTTGCAAATAAGACCACATCGTCTTAGCTGTTCGAAAAGTGGAAAGACTCATAATCATGGACTGCTTGACACTATTGACGATGGCAGCCATCACTTTCCCGTCATTAATTTGCCACGTTTTGATCTCAGCAGCATTGCTATTGTCAACTTTTCGTTCAGGGCTGTCATCGGTCAAGTGAAAGGCTAGACCATAACCCCTCAATACTGTTTCCACAGAAAAAGCCCACTCCCGATAATTTTGGCCATCGAGATTGATGTTGATAACAATGGCATTGAGTTGCGACATGATTCGACAGTAGATGACAAAATACCTCCGCAATGGGCGGGCGATATGCAAACAATGATGTACAATAAGACAGATGAGGCTGCGACAGGCAGCGTAAGATCACAAGACGGACGTGTGAAGGCTCAAATCAGGAACTGAGTAGTGTTGGGATCGATCGGAACAAACGAACCCTAACCACGACAAAGAGCTGGTCTGAAAAAGGCCAAAACGGACACCCAAAAGACTTCAAAACAGAAAACTGACACCACTGGCAGCAACCTCTCGAAATTCCGATCCGACTGACGTTCGCCGGAGAAAATTCCGGCCAACCACACGCCCCCACGCGCCGGCGCGTGAGATGCCCGGCAGCGAAATTTTCGGGCGCGTGTAACTCACACACGCGCCGGCGATGTTTGGCCGGAGAGTGAATATAGGGGCAGCGAGATGACTGGTGTGGGAGGTGAGACTTGAAGGAGAAGGGAAAAAAAAAAAATTATTTGTTGTGGCTCGATACCATGTTACATACCTAGGTTTACTGCGTTGATGACATTGTTTGATATGAAAGGGCCATATATAAAGAATTGATAATGGTCCTGGGCCTTGATATACTTAACAGGTTGATCAACTTTTGTGATAAATAGTCACCGGTTTTATCGAAATTGTGTTTTTCTCTGGCATTTTTCTGTAGAGGAGAATGTGTAACTGATTACTGGACCTTTCCTTAGACGGTATTATTTTTACACACTTAATTACTTTTAAAGACTTTTACACTCGCAAGTTATTTTGTATTGGTATAATAATCGCAAACCTGTGGTGTGCTCTAGTTGTAACTTGGCATGTGCGTCTTTCATTTCCAAAACTTGTTTAAACTTACTGTTTCACATTTCAATTACGGATATCTGCTTCAAAGTGCCATGCACGACTATATCTATAATCCGAAACAAAGTTGTGCAACATATCTTCCTTTTGGACTAGTGATGTGTGTATGGGTTTTTACACCTCCAAGAAAATGGTTTGACAGATTTGAGTTTTGAAGCTCGCTAATGTGTTTGTTCACATGGTTTTCTGGCATTTCTATCTTCACACTACAGTTGTTTCAGTAGTAAAATTTTGTGATAATTGCAAGAACTATCCCTATGGTTTGACCAAAAGATACACGAACACCCAGTTATCTTCAGAATTAGAAAAAGATATCCCTAAGATGTTATTTTGTGTTCAAGTTAAGGTGGTAACTGTACTAATGTGATGGTTTTTGAGATACTTTTATTGATGAAGGGTTAAGTGTGATAGGAAAAAAAAATTAGGGTACTTTTTCTATTTTTGAAAGAAACATGAGTTTTCCTGCAATTGATTCAAACCTCAAAGTACATTTTGTAATTAACCCTAAATTCATCTCACTTGCATAAATGGCCTATGTAAGATCATGGTACCTACATTGGAAGAAAGACCTTTCAGTCTTCTAAGCAAATTGGGTGCTTGCCAGTTATGTGATATATCAGGATATTAAATACGTTAGTAGACGGTTTAGAAAAGTAAAAAACGTATGATTTGCTGCTAGTGGTATTAGTGATATCAAAATTTAAATGTCTGATAGTTGGGGTATTTCATTCTTTTTGGAAGTAACTGCAACAAGCCACCACTTAAAAAAATTGCAAAATAATTGTCATGCACATGTTTCTGGTTGAAATGTGACTGCTGTACATGGTACTGAGGATGATGAAGTTTCTATCGTGATTTCAGTTGAGTACAAGATAGAGACGTATCATGTATATGTTAAAGTGACGTCTGTGAGAGGAAACGATACTCATTGGTGGCTAAAGAAAGTGAACTCTTGATTCCGAGTCCCCAGTTTTCGTGCTTTCCTCGTCGTCCAAGGTCAAAAGCAGAAGCTGCCTGCATGCAAAGAGAGATGAATAATCATACAGCTGGTATCCCCAATAACTTGACATGATTTGATTTTGATTCTTTTTAGGACACTAAACTGATTAATTGTATTTCCTTTCAGTTTGATATGCTTCCATTTTTACCCTCACATTTCGATAATACATTTCCCAAAACTTTTTGAATCCGTCAGATCTGATGCCTTAATAGTCTGGTTGGTATTATCAATATACACATCTTGGCTAAAAGTCGAAATATTAATATCCATCTGATTTCTTTGGTAAATAGGAAGATTACACTTTCATATTTTACAAATATCATAAAGTAGAGATGATATTTGCTCGACTCAAAATAGAATCCAAATACTATGTGAAACGTCGTTATTTGCATGTGTGCGTCTTATCCTGAATTTCATTTTATTGCTGCTTCACTGCTACGTAGATTATAAAGTCACGTGTTGTCTGTTAGTCACACATTCATTTTTATATCAACATTAATTCGACACTGAGTGTTATCTATTAATGCAAAGCTGACTATGAAGGGACCTGGCACTGATATTAAAGTCAACGCAGTTAGTACTGGAGCAAAATGAAACCGGCCATTGGTTTAGTGAGGTCATCATCAGTCTCGCATAGAAACCTTAAATGAATTTTGTTTGAGATGTTAGTGATTCTTTTCTTTGAGGGAGAAGTATAGTTGTTTGATGGCTTCAGTTTCTTCTTTGAATTAAATTGAGAATGCTCAATGAATAGATGCATTTGATATTCAACCTCAGTTTACTCATGTTAATTATTGTCATCTCTTAAAAGATACGTACCTCTTTTGAGTCAGTTTACTCATGTTAATTATTGTCATCTCTTAAAGATACGTACCTCTTTTGAGTACTGAAATTTTGGACAGAAGGGGTACCTGCACAAGGAAACTTCAATGAAAACCCATGCCCACGTCCACGTGCCCCACCAAAGGCTCGCAAAAAAAGGAAGAAAAAGCCAGAAAGTGAACTGAGTGATCCTGAAGTAACCATTCCCCGAACAATTCATCTTCGTGGAAGAGCAAGGGGAGGGCATAATAACTCTACTAAAATCTCCAATGAACGAGGCAAATTAGACTGCTCAACATTCCATCGCTACTTCACGTAGGTGTATGGTAACTTATTTTATTAAAAGCAAAAAACTTGTGATAACCCAGATGTTTGTTTTTCATTCAAGTTTTAGTCTTATAGTTTTTTCTTTTTCTTTTTTTTTTCAGATTTTTAGTGTTTTTACTTTTATGTTCATGGGATTCATATTTTGTTTCTGGGATTTATGTTTTTGTTATGGTTTATTTTTTTTCTTCTTGGTAATATTTTGAACTATTTTAAAGTTCTACTAATTAGTTTTAGGGGATCTCGTGACAGGAGTGTGCCTCATTTATAATAGTAGCCAAACAACACAGCTTTAATTTTACGAGAATAAATCTCGATTGATTGTAGGCATATATGGACTGCTTTTCCCGAAGAGAAATTAGAGCCAGTTACGTTCTTCGATCCCGTATGGTTTGAATTATATTCCCATGAAAAAAACAGAGAGATGGTTCTAAATTACATCAAGAAGAAGGGTGTATTTTCAAAGAAGTATGTTTTCGTACCGATAGTCGTGTGGTAAGACTCTCATGTAAGCCAATGATCATGCAGTTGAATACACTTCATTGTTTTTCGAAAACTCTGTATTAAGATGTTCCTTTGATAGGTCACACTGGAGCCTGTTGATATTCTGCAATCTGGGTGAGACTCTCGTTCGCTCAAAAGTCAATGCTCCTTGCATGCTGCTCTTGGATTCGTTGCATGCAATAGGTCCAACGAGGCTCGAACCTTTAATAAGAAGGTATCAATTGTTTTCGAGCAAGATTAATTCATGTACCAATTTTTTATTTTTTCCTAACCCGTTATAAAGTTAACATTTTTCTTTTTGTTATGTTCCCTTGTTCTTTACTATTACCTTTTCGTGTTCTTCAGGCTTCTCTTTGACATGTATACATCAGAGAAAAGGCTGGAGACTGAAAAGCAGCTTAAGAAAATGCCTCTCTTGATTCCCAAGGTTGCCCTAATAATAACTCTTCATCATATGTGCTAGAGCTTTTATAGAGAAACTCGCGAGGTATCATTATATATACCCTTTTCAGGTACCCCAGCAGAAAAAAGGCGATGAGTGTGGATTTTATGTTCTCTACTTCATAAAGCTCTTCCTAGAAAGATCTCCCGAGAATTTCGGCACATCTGAGGGCTACCCATACTTTGTGAGAGTTTTTAGATTCTTGTTTCTTTTGCAGTACAACCCAAAAATAGAACTAAACTAACTAAAGAAACTAAGTTATATCCTAAAAAACGTACAACCAAAAAATAGACCAAAACTAACTGAAGAAACTAAAGGAATCCTAACAAAACAAAAAAAAAAA